TGTTTTAGTTTCCAAACTAGAGGCTTCTACTCCTGTCTCTAGGAGCCCACATATAGGAAATCCAATTACCTAAAACTGCCATGCTGTGAGAAAGCCCAACATGGCCCCAGGGAGAGATTCTGTGGAAAGAAAGAAAAAAGGAGGAGGGAAGAGAAAGAGGGGTGGGGGTGGGGCAGAAAGAGAGAGGAAGAGATCTCCATCCAACACCAAGGTTTTCAGGCCCCAGACATCATGGAACAGAAACGAACTGTCCCCATTGTGCCCTGCCCTAATTCCTGAACCAGAGACTTGTGCTTTATTCTAAGGATAAAAGATTGTATAAGTCTTTAAGTTTGGGGGCAGCTTATCACACAGCAATAGATCATTGAAACATCATACTCTTGTAGACTCTCCACTACCCAGTGGGTGCCAACTGACAAAAGTCATTAGGGCTGATGATCCCATTCTAGACTTCTCTTCTTTTTGAGAAAATGAAACTGCACTGCCCTCTGAGGTCAGATGTGATTTTCTTTGCTTTGGAGAATGAAATGAGGACAGAAGTGATATGTGTCACTTCCAGACAGGAGCTTCAAAAGCCAGCGGTCATTCACTATGGCCTCTCCCCTCTGACATTATGACCAGATATATCAGATGTTTAAGATCTAGCTATCAACAAGCTGCTGACATGTCCACACCCCAAAACAAACATGTCATGCCAACAAAAACATAAAGAGATGTTGGTGTTGTTTGTGACTGAAGCATAATCATAGTGACTGATTAGTAAGTTCTTTTCTCAAGCTAATCCTTACCAAAACGACCCTGTGCATGAGATAGCATTTGAACTCTGGAATGTTTTTGCACACACACAAAAAAAAGGTCTGTAATTAAGCAAATATATATGTCAATCTTTTTGACAGCTACAATCAGGAACACCACGGAAATCAACCAAGTGGAAACACAGTGGCCATGGGAATCCACCGCCTGGACCTCTAACTACAGGGAGCCTAAGTGGCCAAGGGCCCCATGGCTACACTGAAATCCTCCCACACCTCCCACAGGCTCCTCACAGCCAATGGCAGTGCAGTGGGGATGCTTGGCAGACCTCTCCTTGGGAAACACAGGCCTGACAGCCTGCAACACTCCCATTCAATCTCACACCCTCTCCTTCACTTGGGGTCAGATTGCGTTGCAGTCTGACCACTCCCCCAGAATCCCCCCCACCTTGCTCCCTATTTTCTCTATCACCAGCATTTCCCCTAGCAAAATCCTTACACATTGAACCTATCTTGGCATCCACTCCACTGAGAACACAGACTAATATAACTATGTCAATGAATATTCAGCCTTGATAAGTTAGCTTTGATCAATTAAACATACCGAGACAGCTAGCTCTTGCTGAATGGGGGCTGTTCCATTAATCTAAAGTCATAATGTTACATGATGTCCTTGGATATGGTTAGATTCAACTCCTAAATGATCTACATTGACATGGTATCATTTTCTTTAATGTGATTTTTATAAAGTGGGATTTAACCTATCTCCAAAAGTGTATCCTTCCCTAAGTGTCCAAAATAGGCTTCCAATCTCTTATCCAAAACCCTAGAGACCATGCATTTTGGAATTTGAAATTGCATATATTAGAAAAGTAATATTACACCTGCCATATTTGATGTAACCCAGCATATCTGGAGCAGAACTCTACAGTCAAATACGTCAATTTTTTTCTTCCCATATCACACATAAATATTAACTCAGTAAGAATTTTTTAAAAACAGCCTTGAGACAATTTAGGTATGGGTTTGCCATCAAAGCCAATTATTCTAAAAATTCTGTTTTCACAGATGTTTGCATTTTTGAGTTGTGAATAAAGGATTGCAGACCTGTATATCCACACTACAGAAATCTGTGCAGCCCTATTTAAAAATAAAAATAAAAATAAACTAGCTTTATACTAACACAGGAGAACAAATGGCTGCCCCTCAGCACTGCAGAAGAAAGCATACAGCAGGGCAGCCTGCACTGGAGGTATGACCATAAACATACTCAGAGTGGGAAGAGGAAAGGTGGAGACAATCTTCACTTGCCACTTCCCCCCTCCCTTCCTTTTCCCACCCACAGCCTTCTGTAATGACTTCAGAGCTCATTGAGCAATGCTGTGGAGACATTGTTTATGACTATTGATTGTGATGTGGTAAAGTTTTTAAGTACAAATTTATTTATATTACTTATGCGAGAGAGACTAAATTCACCTCTACAGACTGCCTACGTGGATGGCAGGCAACTAGAATGTTTTGCATAAATTGGGGCTGAGATAGTTCACAGGGAAATTTACTTAGGGTATTACATAAGGCTCTTCTGTCAAGGCAAGAGACGCAGATGGTGAAAACCATGGACAGGAGCCCTGCAGTAAACTTGAGATGCCCAGTATCTCTTCCACATCAAAGGAGAGGACACAGCATGGGACTGTTCCCTCAGGGAATGTCTCAAGAAACACCCAATTCTGGACATTTTTCCTCATCTGTTTCTAGCCCCTGTCCTGGCACTCATAAAAGCTCTTTTCTTCATCAACCATTTCAGAAGCCAAGAGCCAGAGGAGAGGCTGTTAACTACAAACAAAAGAAAAAGATGAAGAGCGGGATGAAAACCAAATTAGGGAGGAAATATTCTTTCTAGTAGCTTAATAGTCCTGGAGAAATGGTCCGCAATGGATAAAAGTTAAGGAATCTTAATTAGGGATTGGAAATCTAATACAGTAACATTCACTTTGCATTTTGTATACTCAGTATTGACTGTATTTTTTCACAGTAAGCATGCATTAAAATAACTTCATGATTTGCCGAAAACAGTTTGGCTCAGTGGCTAGAGCGTCGGCCTGCAGACTGGGTGGTCCCAGGTTCAATTTCGGTCAAGGATATGTACCTTGGTTGAGGCACATCCCCACTAGGGGGTGTATAAGAGGCAGCTATTCGATGTTTCTAACTCTCTATCCCTCTCTCTTCCTCTCTGTGAAAAATCAATAAAATATATATTTTTTAAATAACTTCATGATTTAAAATTTTTCATTTAATTATGGGAATTACTGAGAACAATCTTTGTTAATATATTTAAGGTGCTATTATTATTCCCTATGAATCTTTCTTGGGAGATGTACCAAGTACAAACACTCTGCGTGGCACTCTGACTAACATCATTCCATTTGTGTGCTGTTTGTTCAACCTCTAAATCTGAGGTACTGTGCTTGGCACTGGAGATACCCCAGTGAACAAAGCAAGTTCACAAAACCCCAAGAAGCAGGTGCACCATGTGGAGACAGGCATTCATAAAGTTATTGCACATTTAATGATTCAATCCCACTTGTGGTGCATTCTATGAAGGGGAGCACTGTGACCCATCAGTGCTTCATGGCAGCTCTCTGAGGTGGATCTCATCCTCAATTATGGATAGAGATTTAACATTAATATTTGTAACATTAAGGTATGTTAATTATACTACCATAAAATATACTGAACAAAATATATTTTTATAATTACAGCTATTATGGCAACGATAAGAAATTATTTTAGGTCCACCAGTCAGTGGGGGAAAGGATGGGAATAAATGTGGAACTAAGTCCAAATGTGTGGGGGAATACAAGGATCATTACTGCCAAGGATTTCACCAGCACTACTGGTTCCTTGACGCAGAAGCTTGGAGACCTCCACTTCAAGACACCCACCCCATCCCCAGAACTGCAAAACATGAACAGCAAGACAACCTGGAAACAAATAGAAGGGGTATATTTTCCGAAGATATGTTCCATATTTTACAAGCATTTTTTTTTTTTCATTTTAAAGACGTGGGCCCTTTGTGCCCACAAACAACTAAAATAAACTGGAAATATCAATCTCAAACTGTACCCAAGAGTCCTTCTTGAGCCTAGAAGTAACACACAAGTCCTATTCAGAGCAAATGCCTTGTCTGTTTGGAAAACTTTGCCGCTGTGCTCAAAAGGCACTAAGGGGCAAGACACGAACATCTTCCACAAAGACCTGCTGCTCTGTGAGATGAGCGTGCAGAAAGGCTCGCTGGAGTTGTAATACTAACCATGGTATCTCTGGTACCGAATTGCCTTCAAGATAACATCTGCTCAAAATAAAATACTTGGGAAATTTGGAGGGTGTAAGGGAGACCTGCTGCTCCCATCAGCATATACAGCCAGGTTTCAAAGTTGCCATAATCAGGGAATCTCGGATTGTGTAAAATGAGAGCCCATGGAAATGGAACTTCCAGGTGTAGAAAGATGGGCATTCCATCCAAATGCATGTGATAAGTAGTTCCTTGCGTCTCTCCTGACCAAGGCTGGCACTTACAATAACTTGACAAAGATCCTCTTGAGCTAAATATTGTATATGTTTCTTTACTCAGCGAAGCACGAACTTAAAATTAGAATTCTAGGTCCATGGGTATCTCCTGATAGCTCACAATGGAATAAGCTGACTTATTACACAAAATGAAAGCATCATAGTGAATTCAGACTGGTGCTAATGAGACAGCCAACCTTTGGTGAGACCTTAACTTGGCTTCACTTTAACTTTTTTGCTGTCTCAAAATTTTAATAATAAAATATGGTGTTCTGAGATATGGCAAATCCATGAAACTTTTGCTCCCACATCCCTCTCCATATCCATAGTAAACCTTGCTCCCCCTATGACAGATGTGGCCTTATTGGACAGCTTAACAGGGAATTCCAAGTAGGCACCATCCATGACATCAGCAAGAACAAGAGTCAGTAGTCTAGTTGCCAATTCTGATTTAAACTATCTTACTTGACATTCCAAATGCCATATCCGTGACAATAAATAGATCCCGTTGGACTTAAGCTGTCACCATTGTTAAGACCTGTTTGACATGGCTAAGGAATATAGATGGTGTGAGAAATAAGGCTGAAGTCATCATCAAGTCATTTACACCATGTTGGCCTTTCTCAGTTTCCATTAGTTGTACTACCAACAGATAAAATATTACATCAGCCAGTCACTGACCTTGTGGAGAGCAGGAGCCAAGACTGGTACCAAGAACCCATTGTAAATATAATTTACAAGCTGGTGACGAATCAAAGGGTGAGCCACCTAAAAGAGAAATAAGTAGTAATAAAAATTACAAAGAATTCAATTTTTAGGTCTTCTAAAAAATCAAATATTTCTGGGTACGTCCTAAATTCAAAATAGATATCCAAATGTTGGCCATTTATTTCATGATTAAAGAGTAATTCAGACTTGAAACCACCATGGAGGTTTTTCAGATGGTTTATTCCAGTATAAATAGTTTTGACTTTCAAACAAAACAAAAAGAGAGAGAGAAGTTGATAGTTTTAAATTTCCATTTGAAAAATAGACTGAAGATGTATACAGAGTCATATCATAAAATTCACAAACTAGGAAGTATAACTTTACACCATAATTTCATCTGTGTCCCATCTCAATTTGTGACTTATTAAAAAAAAAAAAAAAAAGAATACAACTGTCAAAATGGACAATTAAATACATTTATTTTGCTGGTAGAAAAGAATTTCTCATTTTAGAGGTGCATTCTCTGCTACTCTTTTTATTAAGAAGGAAGGCATTTAGATATTCTTTTTATTGAAAAATAAATCCTATTGAAAAGCAGAAAACATTATCAGAGGCACAAGTCTTCCTATATTTGATTTATAAAATATATTTTTGCATGGATAACCCTTGCTAATATCTTTAAATTTATCTTTATTGTTGAAAGTATTACAAATATCCCCCTATAGCCCCATTAACCCCTCCACACCATACTCCCCACCCCCACCTTCCAAGGCCTTCACTGCAACTATTGTCCATGTCCATGGGTTATGCATATATGCATACAAGTTCTTTGGTTAGCCTCTTTTACAAGTAATCTTTACAATAGCGACCCCAAACAAACAAACAAACAAACAAACAAAAAAAATCTTAAAAGTATATGGCCTCAAAATATAGAATGAAATATATCACTTCTTGGTTCTTAAGCATGCCTGTTAGCTTTAATTCTCTTTCTTAAAAGACATACTTTCCTCATAGGGAAGTGAGGCTAGATCTTTAAATTACTAATAATCTCTCTCTGTGTACATTTGGGGAGAAAATAACAGTCTCATCTCTTTTATGTCCACATACTTCTGCAGGAAACTGTTGACAGACTGTAATATTAAAGAAAAAATAACTTAAGATATAAACCACTTATCTTATATATAAATAAAACTTCCTTTGACTTAGCAATAAAAATGAGATGGGAACAAATGTGATGTACTGCATTTCCTTCCAGAAGCTATTTCTTTATTTGGTAGATAAACAGATTATAACTAACATTTTCACCTCACAATCACCATAAAGAAAATGTGATTTCTTAATAAATCCAATATTGAGGTAATGTTTATGGTATACAAAAATAAAACATTTTTGACGTAAACCTACTACATCCTTAAATGTTTATAAAATCTGATTTTTATTGAAAACTAACAAAAAATCTGAAAGTAAAAATCTAATCAAGAAGCAAAAATAGTAGAGTTCAGTGGCGGTTTCCCCCAAAAAAGCAGGCCAATTTCAAGTAAATTTAATTTGTGTTGCTAAGAAGATGCTTAAGTTCTTCTAAATTCAATTGGGATAACAATATTCTTTATGTAGCATGCACCATTAAGCACAACAAAGTGTTTTCCTTTGTAGACTCCCCAAAAGACCTTGAAATAAAAGTGGTATAATTTGGAGTACTTAGAAGCCTAAAAATACCTACTTAATGAGTCAGGCATTGAACTTAGTTTTGATGGTTAAGTGGATAATCAAAACAGAATTAACATTTTTTATGAGGAAGATAAAGAATATCTACTTACTTTTTCTCAATTAAAACTTCCCAGAAACCCATAAACCAACATTTTTACTCATTCAAGAACATTTAGTATGCTTCAAGTAAAGCATCAACATTCCATAAACATTAAAATAAAAAAAGGAATATTTATGAACTACTCCTTTACCATGCTTATACTCTGAATGGATCATAGCAAAGGGTCCCTGCACTGCGCTCAGTACCTGTATGACGGCATTGCAAAACTCCAGGGAGTTCATGAACTGGACGAGAGAAGGGAGTAGGAGCCAGTCATCTTTCAGAAGGCAGTGCCACTCCTCGCCTTTCTCTTCCAGCTTTGTAGGCAGGGAAGAGTAGAGACCACTGAGCCCAGTTGCAAGCACCTGTGTTCAGAAGTAAAAATGTAATCAGCTCTTTTCCAAAGTTTTAAAAATATGTTTTTATTCATTTTGAGAGAGAGAGAGATAGAAATATGAATGAGAGAGAAGCATTGATTGGCTGCCTTCTGCATGCCCCCTAATGGGCACTGAGCCCGAAACCCAGGCATATGCCCTGACCAGGAATCAAACCAGCAACCTTCTGGTTCTATGCTCAACCACTGAGCCATACCGGCCAGGCTCTTTTCTAAAGTTTTAACCTGCAACTGACAGGTCCCCGGGGAGGTCAATGCTGCTGGTCCAAAAACTGCGCTTGAAGTAGCAAGGTAATAAAGTATGAGAGTGTATTTTGCTAGCTAGAAAGGATTCGACAGGTGGAGATTAGCAGGGAAGGACAACTCCAGTAGAAGGAACAGTAGCACCCAGGGTATTTGGTTAATTCGTAGATGGAAGATACAGGTGGCATGTCTCTTCTGTACAGGCACATGCTGGTCTAAGGGTCGGGGGAGAGAGGGAGAGGCAAAGATGAAGAGAAATGATTCCTGCCCCTAAGCTGTTGAAGAAAGGGGCAAACTCATAAACAAGCATTACAGCACCATGCGCTGCATGCAAACCCAGAGAAGGCACAAACCCAGTCTCTGGGAGGAAGCCCTGGACTCTGGCAGCCCAGGTCAGAAGATGTCACAGGTAAGAACCATGAGTGGCTTTAGAGAAAGATTCCTGCAAACATGTTAAAGATCAATGCCTATTTACAGTTTGAAAAGCACTTTAATGTGATCTTCATAAGTGATAGCAAGAAGAAAGAACTGGGGGCCATGAGTCAGACATGATGACAATAGTTCAAACACAGCTACAGTAGGGCTAAGCTGAAATACCAGGAGTCGGAAATGAGAGGAGGAAATAAATTTGAGATTCATGTGTGAGGTGGGTGTGAGGGTGAGCTAACCATGACATCTGTCGATCCAGTATTGATCCAAAGCTCACGGGGTGTACTTCCTCCCTCAATGCTATGTTCCTAAAAGAACAGTTTGGGCTTGGTAACTGAAGATGAGTGAGAACTCCAAATTATTAAGTTATCCAGCTTGGTCATTAACCGGTTTAGCTCAATGGATAGAGCATCAGCCTGTGGACTGAAAGATCCCAGGTTCCATTCCGGTCAAGGGGCATGTACCTAGGTTGTGGGCACATCCCCAGTAGGGGGTGTGCAAGAGGCAGCTGATCGATGATTCTCTCTCATCGATGTTTCTAACTCTCTATCCCTCTCTCTTCCACTCTGTAAAAAATCAATAAAATGTATTAAAAAGAAAGAAAGAAAGAAAGAAAGAAAGAAAGAAAGAAAGAAAGAAAGAAATAAAGAAAATGATCTCTTTAACAGAGACAGAAATGTGAGCAAGGAACACGCTTGTGTTATATGTCTGTTGATTTTATCTTGTGCAGCATAATCTGAGGGAAACTATGGCTGTCACAGTTGGGAAGCCTCCCAGCTGGGAAGTGATGATCCCAAACAGCACCTCAGAGATCCTGATCAGGCAGAGGAATAGCATGGAACAGAAGCAAGAAATTACCTGTAAAAGGTGTTCCTTTAGGGCAGTGGTCGGCAAACTCAACAGAGCAGCAAACCATGGCTCGCAAGCTGCAGTTTGCTGACCACTGCTTTAGGGTAAACCCTGAAGTTATGAGGGACTCAGGTCAGCTAGAAACATTCAAGAAAACATTCAACCCTAACTTAGGCCCAGAAAAGAAATAGTGAAGTTTTTATTGATCTCAGAGTCTAATAAGAGATGAGTCAGCAATTTTAAGTGTAATAAATGTTCAGAATACATGATAGAAAATGCATGGTGCTGTGGATATACAAAAAGCCCTTAATCCAGACTTGGGGTGGGAGAGCAGGGAACGGTCTCAGAAGAAGTGATGCCCAAGCTACTAAAGAATAAACAGTAGGTGGCCAAAATAGAGTGCTGAATGGAAGAATATTCTAAGCAGAGCGTGTATAAAAGCTCAAAGGGAAAATGGCATCTTCCAGGAACTGAGAGCAGTGCAGTGCTACTGGAGTGTAGAATTAGAGGTGGAATGAGCTGGCAAGATAAGCAGGAGTCAGACCCTGCAAGGCTCTGTAGGCCAGAATGAAGAGCTTGGGGGGGCATCTACTGAACAGCCCTGTAGGCAGCTGTATGGAATTAATGCTTAGAGAAGGGTCTGGGCTAGAGATAGAGATCTGGAACCATCCATACAGACCATCCATAGAGGGAGAAGGGAAGGGAGGTTGAGGCAGATGATAAAGAAATCCATGGTGTCTGACATCAGAAAGTCAGAGGAGGTGGTGGGAGTCCAGGTATGTTGAACCTGGAAAAATGATCTACAACCTCATTGTTGCCTCTCCTTCTTCCCTGTCCTGTTCCTACAGCATCCTCTGTGTAGCACCTGTCAGTCTTGCATTTATTAGTTTACAGGGGTCTGGATAATTTGTGCAGGCACGTATGTGGAGCAGCAGAGGCCAGCAGTGCTTCCCGTTAGAAACACCCCCTGCTGGCCAACAGAGAACAGGCCTGGCCTGAGAAATGAGAACCTGGAGGTCTTAGCGCAGAAAAACTGGATGATGCCTCAGGAATGAGGGGTGGGGGGCACATGGAGTGGGAGTCCACAGAGGAGTAGGAAGGGCAGTGAGAGAAAGAAGTGAACCACTTCAATATTTGAGAAATCAAAAGATTATGTCTGTTTCTCTGTCCTTTAACCTAGTGTCCTTTTTTCACTCATTCATTCACTGGTTCATTAAAAAAGAATTACTAAGCACCTTCAATCCAGGTACTAGGCTAAGTACAGAAATACAACAGTAAACAAGATCGTGAATTTCTTTCTTTTTCGTAATCAAAGCATCTGTGATCCCAAAGGAGACTGTCCCCTATTTAAAGTACTTAACTCCTTATCTACACACCCAAACCAATCACTTTAACTCCAGTTTTTAATGTGACCCGAGTGAGTTGTCTGTAATAAATTAGAATTCTCTACCAAGAGAGAACAGAGACCAAAAGTTCTCCTTGAAGGGAACTCTAACCTTGATGCAACATTTTAAAAATCAATTACATTTGCTAACTCATACTAAATTAACCACAGAACAAAGGCTTTAATTCTGCATATGCCCGAAACCTTAACCACTTTGAGGCTTCAAAAATGAATTCATAAAGAGAGGCTTAATTTGTCTGACTAAAAAGCTGGGAATAACTATTTAGTATATCAATATAATTACAGCAACATTAATCTTCAAATTACATACATCAGTGACAGTAATTAAAAATAACACATACCTAATATTCACTTTTTTAAAGCATATTCCTGGAAAAGGTGTGGCTAAGATGAAAACAGAAGCCTGTCTATAGAGTGCAGTGTGGCAACGGGAACAGAGAACTACCGCCTTCTTGCCACTATATGTGGGGCTCGCGAATGTCTCTGCTATATTCTTCAGGCAAAGAAACATGGAAGAAAATATTCTGCAGAATAGAGAGTAACACATATTTCTTTTAAATAGGTTTTTATTGATTTTTTAGAGAAAAAGCAAGGGAGAGAGGGAGAAAGAGAGAAACATTGATGAGGGAGAAACATAGATCAGCTGCCTCTTGTATGCCCATGCCCTTATTGGGGTTTGAACCCAAACCCATGGCATGTGCCCTGACTGAGAATCGAACTGGCTACCTTTTGGTGCACAGGATGATGCTCAACCAACTGAGTGACACCAGCCAGGACTAGTATTCCATAGTCTTAAAAAGAAGATTCCAAATCTTTACTGCTAGATATTTATAGCCCCTTTCTAAGACTGCTCAGAGTTCAGATCCATTCACCCAATCCACATATATTTCTAAAATACTGACAGTGACCCAGTGGCTGGAGAAAGAAGTGGACAAGCCAGCTCAGGAGAGATAGAGGAGAAAGGCGATAAACTAATACATACAAGAAAGACAATTGCTCCACAAGGGGAATCAGAGGGTGCTGTGGGAACGGGGCAAGGGAAAAGGAGAGGCAACAGGTTTGTAGATCATTTTTCCAAGAGTTTAATGGCACCATCTACTTATTTTTAAATTTCATTTTTAACCTAATTTTAAAAAAGTCTCCTTAAAAGAAAATAATCCATATAAAACTATAAGGATAATAACAGATCATTTAAACAGCAACACTTCCATGAAAGCATGACAGTGGTTGAGACCATGGATTTTAGTATCAGATTAATGCAGCTGTTGAACCTGCCTCTGCCATTTACAGGTAGTGATTAAGTTCTCTAGGGTACTAGGGTTCAGTTTCTTTACTGTGTTGCTGTCGGAATTGAAGAAAATAACGCAGGTGAAAGGTAACCATCATGGTTGACACACAGCAATGTTCCCACTGGAGGGAAGAAAGGTGCCATGCACCGAGCACAAAACAAGCCAGAGAAGGTCCATCTTTAATGCAAAACGTTCAGCACTACCCAGTTAATTTTAGCAAAAACAAAAAGATTTTTAGCAGATGGCTTTAGTCTGAAGCTAGCAGCAGAACACCTGGCAGGGACCATTTGATACACCTTGCCAACATAAAAAGCCTCATAAATTTTAGATATGGGATAAATAATGTTCTACCTGCGGCTGTGTACCTAAAGGTTGCTTATTTCAATTTGCCCTTCCGAATTTATGTACAGGCTGCTTTCTATTTTTGCCAATCAGTAACCAGTGACAAGGGCTTAATCATTAATATTTGTTTTTTAAAAATCAAAGGAAGACAGGGTCATAGAGTTCCCAATCATTTGTTCCCTACGGTATTCTCATCCTCCTCCTTTTCTTGGAAGAGCACATCGTGAGATGCGAGGCAGCGGAACCAGCAAGCTCTTCCTATCAATGACAACAGCAGGAGTTTCCAACAGTGGTCTAGTTTCCGGAAAGAGTTATTACTCTTCCCCACACCTGATGCTAACACACTTTGACAATTATACTAATTAGAGAAAGCTTTTTGTCAACTGTGGTCCTTAGCTGGGTGGTTAAAAAGAGGATGCTATTATATTCAACATACAGAGGCCCCCTTTTTCAAAAATTATATTGTCAGATGTAATTATAGAAAACTGGGGACAAATGAGATTATGGGATTCATCCTTAGGGCAACTTAATACAACGCAGCAGCTCGTGTTCCATTCTAGAAAATAATGTCATCTGTAGACGTTGTTTTTCTCCAACTTTAATGAACTCGACAGTGTTTGAAAACACATTTTTAGAAAAGCAATACTCAGTAAAATCTGCTTACAATGTAAGTGAAAATCTAGACATTAAAAATATGCTCCAAACTAGTCCTAATAAATTTAAATGTTTAAGTGTGAAATGTTACAAACATATAGAACACAACAGAATAGAAACCACCCCAAAATTTCACAGATTTCAATGTTTGTACATCATTTCTTCAGAACACTCTATTTTTATAAAAAAAATAAAACCTAACAAATAGAGCTAAACCCTTTCCCAATCCCATTACCCTCCCTTCTCCTTCCTTCACCCCCAAAAGCAACCACAGTCTTGAAGTGAAAACATATTCCTGTATTTGTTTTTGTACTTTTACTGTATTCACATGTATCAAAAAAAAAAACAGCATACCTTATGTTTTAAAACTTTGTGAATTTACTAACATACTATATGTAACCTTTTGCTACTTGCATTTTTACTTAACATGTTTTTAGACTTGTAGGTACTCACACATATATAGTAATATATACACTATACATGCAATTAATTCATTTTGAATTCTGAGTAGTAATCCATTTATGTAGAAAAGGGGTGCAGAATGTCCGGGCTGCGGCAGTATAAGGCGTACAAAATCATTTGGTCTGAGTTAATTAAATGTTTGACCTAATATAGCAGGCTAATTTAATATATATATATCTTTTTTAATTGATTTTTTTTACAGAGAGGAAGGGAGAGAGATAGTTAGAAACATTGATGAGAGAGAAACATAGATCGGCTGCCTCCTGCACACCTCCCACTGGGGATGTGCCCACAACCAAGGTACATGCCCTTGACTGGAATCGAACCTGGAACTCTTCAGTCCGCAGGCAGTCGCTCTATCCACTGAGCCAGACCAGTCAGGGCTAAAATATATTTTTATTGATTTCAGAGAGGGAGTTAGAGATACATGTATGATAAGAGAGAATCATTGATCAGTTGCCTCCTGCATACCCCCAATTAGGGATCAAGTCCACTACCCAGGCATGTGCTTTGACTGGGAATTGAGCCATGACCTCCTAGTTCATAAGTCAATGCTCAACCACTAAGCCACACCAGCCAGGTTGCAGGCTAATTTTTCAGTTGATAATTTTCTATGGCCTGAGAATGATTTTATAAATATCCAAATGGCCATTGGCAAAAAAAAAAAAAAAAAAAAAAAAAGATTCCCCATCCCTGATTAGACCAAGCCAGTCTATTTATCTTTCCCTTAATTTATTTCTATTTTTCTCTTTCTCAAATCAGTATTCTATTGAATATCTTTGTGCATGTATCCTTGCAAACATGTGCCAGACTTCCCTAGGGGGATATCTAGAAGATGCAGGGTCACATGGAACACAAATATTCAAGTTATTAACTATTGCCATATTGCTCTCCTGATTTATTGTCCCAATTTACATTCTCAAGAGTTCCTGTTTTTCACACCCTTGACAACACTTGGTGTTACCAGATGTCCGACAGTTCACTGCTCAGATGAGCAGTATCTGATGTCTTTTTGTGAGCTGATTTGCATTTCCAATGCTGGGAAAGATGCACATATTTTCACATGTTTATGGGCTTTTAGTGTCTTCTGGGAATTATTCATTCACATCTTTTGCCCATTTTTCTAATTTTTTCTCGTTAATTTGTAGCACTACAAATATTTGTGTATATTTTGGGTACCAATTACTTGTATTTACGTGTGTTGCAAATATCTTCTCCCAGTCCGTGTTTTTTGTTCTTGATTCCAGTCTTTTCTTTATGGTTGGTGCTTTATAATTATGGTTGGTGCAAAAAATACAAGTCTTGATATTTTATTACTTAAGTACAAGGTAGTAATTAAACACATGGGTCCTTGAGTCAGACTAACCAAGTTCAAATTCTGACTGTATCTCTCTTACTAGCCATGTGCCCAGGTTCAAGAATTAGGATGTAGACAGCTTTGAAGTGGGAGGGGATGGCATTATTCTGCTTGCCACAATTGTTATATCCAGTTTGGAGTGCACTTGAAAAAATTTAAGCAATAAAACAGCAAAATCAGAATTCTCTTAGGAGTATAATCTGACAATGTAAGATGGTGAATTTGGTAGATGCTAAGAAAGTAGGGAGACACATTAGGGTCTAAACACAAGGATGGTAGGAATGAGAATGAAAAGGAGGAGCTGGAAATGAGCTCCAATGTGGTAGTAGTAGAAGATAAACATTTTTTTTTTTTCAGAGAGCCCGAAGAAAGAGACACTTAATATGTTGGCACAGATGAATGAATCAGTTCTTCACTTCCCATGTGACTATCAATCTTTGTACAATCTCCTATTCCATTGGTCAGAACCCAGGAGGGGAGAGATACTTTGTATCCTCAATTTTTTAACTGCAATTCTATTTTTCAAAAAATGTTACTTATTTGTTGTCCTGACATAAATATTTACCAGATATAGGTGACCCTGGTTTATCAGTAGAAATAGGAATTTAGTAGTATAAAGAAAATTACTGCTTTTGAACCTCAAAGCAAAATACATTATGTTACTCGCTAGGATTGCTACTAGCATTTTGAGGACAGTTCTTTACTGGACAAGGCCATTCCACAAAGTGCTGTACAGCATCCCTAGCCCCCTCACACTAAATTCCTCCCAGCCACCACATGCCCCTATCACAATCAAACACACCCTCCATACATTTCTAAATGCCGTCTATGTGCCCTCATGCCTGTTCAAGAACTACCCATGTAGTGTTAATTAACAATGAATCTAATCTACTTATGTCATCTTGCCTGGCCTGTTCAAAAAAAAAAAAAATTACTAATGGCCTTACACAGTCTTCCAGCAGAAACAGGCATATTCAAGGCACTATACCAGTAGTTTAAAAAGAAATACAATGATACAACTGGTAAAAAGAAACAGACAATGGAAATAAACCAGAAATGTTCACTGAGTTGGGAAAATAAAAATAGCTGTTGCTCAACGTAACTGACAAACCAGAAGATATAAATCTGTCTTCTAAAACTTCCTTCCAAAGCCAACACTGACGCCAAATAATGATCAGAGCCCTAAGGCTTCTTAAGAGCTCCCATTATTTCCTGGAACTGGGACTGGACTTGGGCTACTCCACCATCTGCAAGAGACCTTCCACTTTACTTCTCACCATACCAACGATTAAGGAACTATACAGAATAGAATATTTCTTGCTACCTCCCTCTGCAAATAGGCACTTATTTTTAAAAATAAAGTCGGTGCTTTTTAGCCACAATTATGGTCATTTTCTTGCTGAGAAACAAATTAATTTGTGAGACAGCTCTGAGGGGTCTCACCACATGATCCATTGGTGCACAATAAATCTGAGAAGCTAGAAATACAGGAAGAGCGGATCTTACCAATTGCTCAGGCCATGCTCTTAGGAAAAACTAAAATAGTTTCTAACCCAACAAAAGTGAACCAAGACATGGTTACACATGTAGGTTCCTTATTTTGAGCTGACACTGCTGACCAAATAGCATCTCAATTTAGGATTGCCCTGGTCCCTCCCAAAAATATCCTATAAATATCTTCCCAAAGAAGGTGCCAGCTACAACTTGCTGAAAAGGAATAATAGAGTATGTATCACCCACACAAGAGAGGAAAGAGAACTGTGTGAGAAGCAAGGAGGGCGGTGGGACTTACAGGACAAAAGTAGGTGTTCTCCACGATGTGATGCGCCACCATGCTGTTCTCGGCAGAGAGAGACATGATGAAAAGCAGAGCGTCCCGGGCCTGCTGGCCCACAGTCCCCTCTCGGTGAATAAAGGGAATTAGGAGGGAGAAGATGAGGAAGTTGGCCGCCCCTTGGTCCTCACTCGTGTGAAAGAAGAGTTCCAGGATGGACGGATCTTTGGCAAGGATGGAGCAGAGCTGGTTGAGCAGGACCACCAGTTTCCCCTCCACGGCGGGGGTGGCTGTTCCTGAACAAGAGCTCAGCAGCATCATCAGGGGCTTCAGGATAGGCTTGTGGTGCAGCAGAGGCTGGTGCGATTGGGTGACCAGCATCTCGTACATCTTTAGCTGCTCCACCTTAGTGTCATCAGTAAACTCCCGCCTCAAGCTCCAAAGGAAGAGTTTCTCCATAATGTTCTCAGAGACCACGAATTCCAGAATCGGCCCCATGGCAGCATCCTTGGCTTGTTCTTCAATCAGCAAAAAGAGCATGTGTTCTACATAATTCTGCACGGCACTGGCCTCGTCTGGAGGGATGGATCCGTATTTTGCCTGGGTGTTCTTCAAGGGGTCGTGCTTCTCTAAGATCTTCACAACCTGTAACCAAACCAAGCATTTGTCAACTAACTGATGTCTATCATAACGACAAAAAATAGGGCACCGATTGTGCCAAATCTTCATGGAAGATATGGGAGCCACAGCCCACAAGTTATATGCGAGCGTGCTCTCTCTCTCTCTCTCTCTCTCTCTCTCTCTCTCTCTCTCTCTCTCTCCCCCCCTCTCTCCCTTCCCCCCTCCCTTCCCCCCTCCCTCCCTTCCTCCCTCCCTCCTTCTTTCCTTCATAAGAATAAAATGAAAAGGTTAAACAACAGAAGGAAGATGTTTGCAGATATTCATTTATAGTAGTTATTACTTTGGGCAACCTGTCAAAGATAGTAGTATGGTTATGCAAATTAAGCCACATGCATCTCTGGGCTAGCCTGTGAATGCTTCCTGCCTCTGTCTGCCCATCAATATTGATTTATACTTTGGGATCTGGAAATTTAAACAATTTTTTTATCTCAACTCCCATGTAACTTTATGATTTTTATGATAATATTCATTCATTTCCTTTAAAATGTATCCACATGATAATTTTTAAAAAATCAAACACTGATGGCTTCATTTTCATTCTGGTTTGCCTGTCTGAACTGCCTATAATACCCTCCTGGCCGAGTTCTATAACATGCGGTTACATGTTCTGTATTTAGGTTACAGGATGTTTCCAGTCACTGGAGAAGCTGGCAATGGTACAATGCTATGTCAGCATTCATGAGACCAATGACAGAAGTTTAGTTCTCAGGGGAAGTTCTAAGTTTTCCCCTGTCTGGAACAGGGCAAAGAAACCTTTATAGACCAGTCAAGTTATATATATATATCCTTACAAAATGAAGATAATTCTACAGAAATCTGTCAACTCTATCCATTTCTATTATAAAATTAACAATTCTGTTACAAAAGAAGAAATCACCCCAGCACCCCTGAGCTGACATTTTCAATAAGAAAGGCCTTTGGTTAGCAGCCACCCAGGAGGTCTGTGGCTCAATAACTGCTGACCCCAGTGTGCCCACTGGACATGCCCTCCTTCTCTCTATGCTGACTCCAAAGTGCCCCCATCCTTCCTAACATCCAAAAAGCTGCCCAGAATTCCTCAAAGGCTAATAACCTCGCTGGCAGAAATGCTCTTTCCTTTGCTCTGGCCTCTGTGACAGAGATCACAGTACCACACTTGTCCAAAAGGGGGCTCCACGTCAACGCAGCATGGCCTCCAGCTCCAAAGACCTAACTTTATGGCTCCACGTTCTGAAGAACAAATTAGCTGCCCTGCCTTATCAGTTCTATCATTTCAAAGTCTACATATTAAGTTTAAGTATGAGAGCTATCTATACAGCCAGGCTTTGGGGCAGAAATGTAATTATACTTCTCATGTGTGCTCAGACTGCCTTCACTCTCTAAAATTGGGACATTATACATCGATAGTGGCACAGCAAATTAGCTCAGTCCTTTTAGAAAATAATGTGCCAATATGTACAAAAACTGCTAAAATTGTTCCTCCCCTTTGACTTGTTAATCTCACTTTAGGAGAAACAACCTAAAATAGTTGCCTAAAGGAAACAACCCCAAAATAATTGGTTAATAAATGTTCACACTGGTGATATTTTTAATAATGAAAAATAAAAATATTATTTACCCAAACGGTCAAAAAGAAGAGAATTATAATCAAAATATTACCTCACCATACAAAAAAACTATTAAAACACTAATTATATAATTACCTGCAAGTGTATAAATAAAATAATTTAACTTAAAAACTAAATATTTGACAGAGATGTCTGATTAGAAGTGAGTCTGAAAAGATATAAATGAGATAGTCAGGTTCATAAGTTCTTCCTTATAAATTTATCTAATTTCATAATATAAGTAAAAATAAAAGTAGACAAAGTAATTTTGTACTAATGTATTTTTTAAAAGGACCAAAACACTGAGTTAAAAACAATTAAGAATTGGAAATCTCCTCATGCTCAGAAATTCCTGAGCAACATATATTTATGCATATGTATTTGTACTTATATGCATACATATAGATATTATATATCTAAATGTACACAAGTAATAAACACAAAAACTATATACATAATCATGTTACATTTTTCTCGTGAATATTGTTTATTCCAATGTCTTTCTTTGCAAACAATCTTTTTTTTCTATGAAAAAATCTAAAAAAGAGAACTGAGATTTTTTATATAAAATGCAAACTATTTAGCAGCTTTTAAGTCAGAGCATCTTTATAGTGTAGCTCCCACTGCCTTCCAGGTTAATGGGCAGAGAAACATGAGAACAGAGCTATAAACACGTATGGAGATAGAAGGTCCGTTGATCATCTGGAATGGAGCAGTACCATTAAGAGTCCTTTATTCATTCCCAGCCCAGGGGTGGTTTTACTGCCTGGAAGATGGGTGTGTTACAACCAAGGCCTGTTAGTCATGGAATACACAATGCCCAGCAAAGTGCTGATTCTGCCAGTGTTGCCACAAGCCCTTAATCTCTCTCCTTAGGTGCCAGGACCCTCCCAGACCACCTCCCTTCCCCTTCCAGGCAGACACACCCATGGCCTGCTTTTATAAGCGGGCTCTTGGGCTCACACTCTGGGCCTGGTTCCTGTCCAAACAGGGAATGCCTTACAAGCTCTTAGCTAGAGCACAGCTTGCACTGAAATGCCAAAGAACTTCAGTTCTCATGTTCCAAGTTTGCTGCCCAGGTGGTGTCATAGCTCTTTCAATTTCTGCAGACTGGTTCCTGATGAGATCTGGACTTTTCCTTATTTTTTTCCTTTGTACCCACCAAACTCCTATTTTCCTGTGTCCCTGATTTTTGCTTGCTGCCTATGTTCACCTATGTATGTACTCTGACCTTCAGGTCTAGGATCCATGATTCCACACTGCTCCCAGCAGCATCCGCAGGCCTTGCCCATTCTCTGATTATATCCTCTCTCCTATACTCTCAATCTTGCCCCAGATTTCCCAGCCCCAGCTTCTTCTCAGCTATGGATACTCTCACTCTTGGGGACTCAATTTGGGGGCTAGAGAGATCCAAATAGAGAAGAGAACAAGAGCAAGCAAAATACAGATTGCAAATATTTCTTTTATTAAACAAGTTCACTTCATTAGGTTGCAAATATCATTTAAGAAACGAATCAACTCCTGATAAAGTCCATGGTCATTAAGTGGGCAAACCAGCTGAGATCAGAAATTATACTGGAAATGTTTTGCTGAGCACAGCCAGACATGTGTTGATTTACAAGCTTTAATAAATACAAGCTGGTATGTATGTTTGCTAATTATGAGCCCAGATCACATATAGTTCCACATGTAAATTATCACAACTCTAAAAAGAAACAAATAAAAAAATCAACAGTGTTAACACTGATATACAAATTATCATCTAACCAATCTAGCTAAATTTTTAAAAAATATATTTTATTGATTTTTTTACAGAGAGGAAGAGAGAGGGATAGAGAGTTAGAAACATCGATAAGAGAGAGTCATCGATCAGCTGCCTCTTGCACCACCCCTAATGGGGATGTGCCAGCAACCAAGGTGCATGCCCTTGACTGGAATCGAACCCGGGACCCTTCAGTAAGCAGGCTGACGCTCTATCCACTGAGTCAAACCAGTCTCGGCCAATCTAGCTAAATTTTAACCTAACTTCAAAGTCATTTGATCTTATATGTTAGGATTATCAGGGCTAAATAAGACGAACAAATACCATATTTCTTTAATAAAGGAATATTAGCTACTCCTATCTTTAGCTGTAATGATGGGCCTCATCAGTCAATGAAAATGGGCCCGAATTTCATATATTCACAAATTGTAAACAGAAAGTTCAAATGCTTTCAGAATAGAAAAATCTACATAAACCACATAATCACACCTCAAGATAACAAATGATTATTCTTCACAATAAGCATAAATGTTTCCCTCTCAGGAGATTAGCTTTGACTCCCTCTTAACATTGTTCTATATCATATATATGTGTACACACACACATACACATCCATGAATCAATAAATAATTATTTATGCTACTTTAGTTGGAGCCTAGTTATTTTAAGAAAGTCACATGAGTACAACCCATACTTCCAAATCCTCTGGAATGCTAAAAGTGGCAGCATGGAAAAAAACAAGTTACTAAGCAACATTTTCCATCACACAGAAGAAGGGCAGGATTTAGCAATGTTAAGCAAATTCCACTTAATGTACCAAATAAATATTGGGATACAACAAAAGTTAACTTCCAACCAATCCTTGTTCATAACTTAACACCTGGTCTTTCAGCCAGGAGTATTCCTTGCATACTTATTCCTGTGGGAGACCTTTACTATGTCATTTCTTTTTGTATTAAGAAAACATAAAATAATAACATGTATTCTTGCACAAGTTGGTTAACTCAGCACCAGTCCTGAACTCCAGAGACTTGTTTAAATCTGGTATAAACCGGGATCACACAGGAGCTACATGCCATCCTCCTTGGGACCAAAGGTGGTCTAGTAATTACTGCAATGCAGAAACATGGGGGACATCAGTCACTAAAACATCATAAACTAGTGCTAAGTTAGCTATGTCTTTTTTTTTTTTCTTTTCCATTTAGATATTAGGGAAAGGACTTAAGAGTAGTGATCTATGTAATAATACTCCAGAGAACACTGTAATTTCAACCACAGCAAAAAACAGACATCGCCAAGCACACCATGGGAGAGTTGCTGACCTTTCAACATGTGTAACCACTTGAGAGGCTAATAGAAGCACAGAGGGATGCCTTGACTCTCTAAAGCAGCAGTGGCCAACTGGTGGTCCATGGACCACTGTGAGGTATGAAAGGTTGGTGACCGTTGCTCTAAAGAAGTATAGTTTTTGTTCTTTGCATTCTACTTCAAGTTTAGAGCTACTTAAAAAGCTAAGAACAAATATACACAATTTTAAAATGTTAACAAATATCTCAGGTGAGAAGTAGTACTGGTCAGATGTTGGTTAACTATTTTTTTTTAAATATTACTAAGATATGAAGATTAATCAAAGTTCTCTAATACTGCCCAACTTTTCATCTCTTGAAGACTTAATTTCTCTCCATCATTGATTCTATGACCAAGGCACAGACCAAAACAATGAAGATGAGCAGAGCAGGAGAATGACTGTCAGGGAACAGGCAGAAATGCAGATCTCAAGTCCACAGACAGTGCTCTAAACGTTCTCAGTAGAGCCAGGCTACTTGGAGCTCTACACAGACACTATACTTAAAACATATTATCTATTTTTTTCATTACAGCATTGTGGGAAGACATTTGACTTAATTAACTAATCTAGATTATACAGTATTTCCTATTCCCACCATCACCTTAGAAGAAAAAGGCTGCTAAACAGACTAGCTTTTCTTCATCAGTCAGCATTACTCTATTTGAGCTCTGAATTTTCTTAACTTAAAAAAATTGTGTAACAGCTTATTTTTGCAGACTAAGAGTGGTCTGAGAAGCTTTGGGCTATTGCCTAACTAGAATCACAAAGAAATGTGCATTCATAACTGATTTTTTTTATAACCTACCACCCCTGTTCTCCCAGCTCTAAGAGCAGACACCTTTAAGTATATAACTAATATTGATTTAGTCCTTAAAAGGAGGTTAGAGAATGAGGACAGCATGGGCCATGAAGCTTCACAAAGTACAATTGTGCCATTAAGAATAACTAGTGTGTGTGTGTGGGGGGGGGGGGGGGGGCGGTGATTCATATGGCAGAATAGTTGAATTGTTTATTATCTGATGGACCAGTGCTTACTTCTTATTCTCTCTCCCATTCAAAAGCAAAGAAGCGAAGGCAAGTGATAAAAACAACAGTCTACTAAACTATAAACTAGTCTTATAGACTACTCTAAAAATTAAGCGCGCGCACACACACACACACACACACACACACACACACACACACGCTCGCACGCAACACAATACAACACACTCTTCCAGATCACTGATCATTAAATACAAGTCCAAAGATCTTACTGGTAGAAAATTATAAAGTGTTTGAATATTAGTGTATGCTCAAAATTGTTTTCTAAGTCACCTTGCTCTTCTAAAAATCGTATTTTCTGTTTCCTGTGTTTCAGTTCAGCAAGTTGAAATCCACAATATGCCAACATATTGTTGGCACTGAGGATATAGGTGAACAAATGGTCTCTGATCATGAGGTTGGGAAGAAGATTCTGTGCATGTCTGTTAGTGAAAGGTGCTTGGTCTAACCGTGAGAGAACACTGAGGTGCTACTGGAGCAGAGTGGGAACATTCAAGAGGGCGGAAAGGTTTCCTGGAGGAAATGATGTCCCACAAGACGCCTGCAGGAGAGGCATGTAACCAGGGGGAGGGATAATCCAGGCAGAAAGAAGAGGAAGTGCCTAAGGCAGAGAGGCATGAAATAGCACAATGTCACTGCTCAGGAGGGCAGTGACTAAGAACTCCAAGTAATTTTGTATTTCTGGAGACTCAGTAAGAGATGAGGAATGAAAGAGGCCAGGACATAATAAACCCTATGTGCCATCTTGGCCTGTAGCTGGGAAGCCACTGAAGTTAAGTCATTCCAACTAAAGGAATGATCCAGACAGACCTGAGTTTTAGATTCCCTGCTCTGGCAACTTACAATGCAAGATCACATCTCAGGTGAGAGGAACTACTGGCGAGAGACTACATCCTACAGCCTGGATTCTCCAGGGTCACTATTAGGAATACAACTATTCCTAAATGCCCACTACGGAACATACCTGGGAATGTCGTGAGATCCCTGGACCCAAGAAACAGTTTGGAAACTGCAGTGCAATGCTGGGCCACTCAAGGACCATCCCCGCTCCCCCCAGGCCCCTCCCCCCGCCCATCATGAGCTGCCTTGGATGGTGCTGATTACATCACTAGCTGTCCCTACACACTGTGAGTTGTAGGGGGGCAAGCAGACCTTCCTCCCCCTCCCTCCTAAATGTGCTTTTAAACTCAAGGTCTGGAAAACAAACTATTAGTGAACAGTGAATAGAATCCATCCAATGTTAATTATGCTGAATCTGCACACTAACAAGCAGAAACACCCTGGATAAAAAAGTGCTGCACTTGCCAGCTAATGGAACACGTCACTAAATAAAACCGTATCACTCAGCTCCATCTCGGCCACATTTCTTACCGGCCTTCCAGGTTGCCTTGGGGAAACCCAGGGGCTACAGCCCCAGGAGTCACAGGAGTTTACGTCAGAGTTTAGCTCATTTCCCAATCCTCTGCAACTGCTCTTCATCCACCCCTGGCCTGAACAACTCACATATGCAACTCCAAAACAATAAATAAAAGGCATTTATTCCTAACAACCGGAGGTCTCATTCCTTACCTCACACTCAGTCCCACATCTCTTACTTGCCCTGACTTCCTCATTCCTTTCTGCCACTCAAGAAAAGTCAAAGCTGAGCATTTGTTTCCAATACCCCTTCTCTAAAGTGTCCTTAACCTTTCTGACACCAAGACCTTCTTTTCCCTCAGTCGTGCTAGCAAAATCTCACTGCCTCCCTTTCCCACGCCAGTCCCATTATTGTAATCCTTTCCCTTGATTTAATCTCTGCATCATTATTATTCATTTTATAGCAATGTATGTCACATTGGCATCCAAATTAACTTCTACATTCTTTAAAGCCCAGATCAAGGCTCATCCATTCCTGTCTCCTACTCACATCCCCTGACATACTCCCCCCACCCACACACTCCCATGGTGCCTGCAGTACACTGAAGTGTGGACTCAGCAAAACCCCAGCCAGCAATAGTCACGTTGACATCCATGTGAATTTCTGCAACCAGCATTTTTATTGATAAAGGTAAGAGGAAAGCCCTCCAGAGCCTTTGAAAGCAGACAGAAGCTGAAGACATTTTCCAGATTGGTTATGAAGGAAAAGTCAAGACTAAAGAGGTAAGAAACTTAGTTAACAAAGTTAACAACGAGACCAAGAGTGTCCCCACTTTACAAAAGGAGTGTTTACTAACTAAACACCATTCTCTCTGACATAGTTATCCTTATTTATTAATACCCCCAGCTCGGTGTTTTTCTGCACTGAACAGAGGGGGCTTTGCTTCAGATAACTGAAAATGTCTGCCAATGCTGAAGTCATTCATATGGGACATGAATAATATGATTCTGGAACCAGGATTTACTCCTTCACCAATGGGAAAGCATTTTCACACCTTTCTGAATTAAGACATTCTCACAGCACTCCCACAGCTTTGGAGAAAACTTGCCCTGGACACTATCTGAATGGGCAATGATCTATCTACATAAAATTAAGAGGTTGATGACATATTATGTCTTTGAAGAGGGGAACAGAATGCTGAATGGATCACATCACAGATACCCCGGTAGGAGTGATTACAAGCAAAGGTAAAATACACAAATAAATAAGCAAAATGGGGCCCAGGGCAAAGACTGCACATTAGAATGACAGGCTTCGTCTGCCGAATGAAATGACTGAGGTTGAAAATTTCTCCACAGGGAACATCTGACTGTGCAATCTTTCAAGTTAAAAATAAGAGGACAAATAATTAGATTAATAGATATATACATACTAATTTACGAATATATTACATACATTATAAACACAAAATAAGAAATTTTAAAAGGTAAAGATGGGACTAGGCCTTCTAAAATATTATTCCCACATGCAATAGCCTATTGGGCATGTCTGTTTGGCTCACCACCCCACTTTGAAGCTAGCACTTTGGAATCTAACAAAAGTACAAAACCAAAGGTATTAATTAATCTATTACCTGGAAAACTCCTGAATTATTTTCTTCCCTTTTCTAAAGCAGCTGTGCCCTTAACATCCAGAGAAAACCCATTAAGGTTCTAATGGTGAAAAGTCAGAGAATGAGAAATGCATAAGAAATTTTGGAAGCTTTGCACTGGATAGTGACAAGAAGCTACAAAGCACAAATGACCCAGAAGCAGAATTAATTTTGTTTTTGATCTAAACTGTGTCCCCCATAATTGCTGTGATTTACAAGCTCAGTGCTTTAACCCATGTGCTGTTTCCGGGTACAGGAAAGAACTGGGTAGTCATTAAAAAACTGTCACATAAATAGCCACTTACCAGCTCACCTGGGAGTGTAATGTTGGACAAGTAGTAAAGAATGCCAATTTTATTTATGTTACTACTTGTAAACTCCCTGAGGAAAGGGTGAGCTGAACATTCAACCCTTAATTATCCATGAAAGCAGATCAGAGAAGAGTCACAGAGAAGTCAAAATGAATAATAAAAAAAATAAAAAACTTTTATAATTGGCTTTGTAATGAATTCAGATAACACCTGGCACTGTCTTCCCTTAAATTACACCAGACCACCAGCGCAAAAGAGTAGAATATAGAGGTCAAGGAACCAAAATCTATAGTACTTGTTTGAAAATCCACTAGTTATATAACCTCAAGCAAGTTACTTAACCTCTACAATTTTCCATTTCCTCAATGAGGAAGCTAATTTGAACTGCCTTATGGGTTTGTGGAAAAGATTACATGATATAAGGCATTTGAAGTAATCAGCACAGCACTTGGTAAACATCTAATAAATGTGTGCTTTGTCATTTCAGAGTCTAAGGTCTGGGTGGAAATCAGCAGGGAGGAAGGGAAGAGACAGGATGTAGACATGGTCAAGTATATTGGAAGTGAGGTCAGATTCATTTGAAGGCCAACTGCTGGGGAACATGCATGCGCCTAATTGGTTGTGTGTTGAAAACCATGGTTTTTTAACCAGATACCTAGTCTAGGAAAGCTACAAGAGAAAGCTGCTTTTTCTCCTTCTGAAAGGGCTTTCCTCCCTGTTTCTGGAAGGAAACCCTGTCACAGGTAGGAAACCCTACCAACAGAGAAGGTAGAACTCATACATTACCTGTGCCCAGTGGTTTTTAAATACAATCATGCATGTTTCTGGGTCAACTCCCTGCAGGCTCACAGCCTGCTGGAGTTTGCGTTCAGTTGCAACCGATGACATCATAAACCTTCATAAAGCAATGCTTCTAAGTCATATTTAATTTTCATCAAAATTTTGCAAGCAGTCACTAATTTTCAAGTATCACATTAGGAACGTAACTTCTTCACATTTCATTGTCACCTTCCAAAACCTGTAATGACAACAAAAAATGCATCTCATTATGTTCATATATTGAATAGGACACTGACTACTATATTTAAATCAAAGCCCAACACAGAACAAAACATCTACAAAACAGATATTTCTACTTAAATCTAAAGGCTTCCCTTTTTTCTTTCACCTTGCTACTAAAAATATAATGAATCTACCAATGCTACAAATGCATAAATTAAGCAATTACTAGGTTTATTCTCTCCACCACTGCCTGCCAACCAACCCCCTGGATTACAGTTCTAAATCTCTCAAATCTAGTTGCTTTCATCAAGCAAGAAATGATGATGCCAATGTCTATGGAGTTTAAAAACACCCAGAAGCAGGGAAACCATTAGCTAATAGTGACAGAAATAAGTGGCTTAATGAAACTTAGGTAATTATGAAACAGCACCCAGACTCCTGGACCTAATATTACTGATTTTTTTTTTAAATAATGCAATCGAAAGCATTCTTGATCATTTTGTGGCTACAAACCAAGTGAAGGTTTCTAGATTTTCTGAAAAAAAATAGAATTCCAAGTAACCTTGACAAATCAGAGAGAAATAATCCATCAAAAACAAGATAGGGCACAGTTACAAATGAGAAGTGAATTGTGTGGGTAAAATATGAATAAAGTCTGACTGCAACCCACTCCCCGTAGGGAGGAAATAGATATTGGGGTCACACAGCGAACAGTGGGTCTGATCCAGTTGTGTGGCGCTTACTCTCTGACAAAGAACTAACACAGTGCTGTTATCTTACCAGTTTGAACGGCCCATAAAAGGACTGGGTACCATTCAAAATATTATTTTTTTAGTGTACAGACTGGAGAGAGATCAGAGAAAGGTAATTACACTGTAATTATCAGAGCCCTGGAAAACAAAACCCATGGATATAATTTCCAGGCTCATAGTGCCAAAAAGAGTAGTGCAAAAACAGCTATTTTCAACTGACGGATATGAAAGGTATTACCAGGAGAACACTAATCAACTGTTCCTCCTACAAACAACGAAACGTAAGAAAGAAGACTTCAGGTGATGATTCGGGTTAGACCTACGGTCAAGTTCTCTGTGAGGAGTGAAATAAAATACTGGAAAACAGTTAAGATATATTCAAAACAAGGGCTTCTGCTGGGGGAGGCGGGAGAGGCTAACCTTTCACCATTAAAAGATCTTTTAAAAAAGATTAGGACACTGGACAGAAAACTTGTAAGAATTAATAATTCTGAAGAAAGAAACATAGTTAAGGAGAATGAAAGAAGACTAAAGTGTACACAAAGAGGAAGGCCTGCTAAGAGGACTGCACACAGGACGTTCCCCAGGGAAAAACAGCTGTGTATGTCTTCTATGACTCTATTTTATTATTTAAATTGGTGAATTCCCTATTGTACAGTTGCTAAGAATACAAAATTGTTGTTTTCAATAAGACACTGTTCACTGCCAACCATAGCCCTTTGCCCCAGAGAGGCAAGTTTTCTCTTGGTGTTTTAAAGCCTAAGAGTGGCCACTCCAAGCATGCAGGGTATGCGCTCCCAGTCCCCACAGTCCCCATGGTTCCCATCACTCCCTGTAACCCCACTGTCAGCCTCTCCCCCTCATTTTGATTACTAGGCTAGCCCGTACAAATAACATTTCAGCATGCAGCTTTGCTCCAAGTGATGAGAGATAGAACAAGTTTTGACTCAACTTCCTCATGGTCCTAAACATAATATTGCTGTGAAAAACATCAAGTCTGTTATTCAGATGATGTAATGATCATAATAAGGAAAATCAGGATATTTTGGTTTATCCCAGAGGCTGGATTAGTAGAAGACACCTTGACATTCCAGCTCCAGCATTCTCAGATTCTTCTTTAAATCTATGAGGGGAACATACACTGTGCCAACCGCCTCTAAATCAAAATCAGTCACATGCTCTCTAAGATCCTTTCAGTTCATTTTCTTTATTTTTTAAAATATATTTTATTGATTTCTTTTACAGAGAGGAAGGGAGAGAGATAGTTAGAAACATGGACCAGCTGCCTCCTGCACACCCCCTACTGGGGATATGCCTGGAACCAAGGTACATACCCTTGACTGAAACTGAACCTGGGATCTTTCAGTCTGCAGGCTGATGGTCTATCCACTGAGCCAAACCAGTTTTGGCTCAGTTCATTTTCAAAGGGACTTTACATGCAGCCTTTCAGAGAGTGAGGCTGCATTACAGACAACATAACTATCTTAGCTGAGGTCATAAATTTACAAGTTAGTTTTGATGGCAGTCAAATGTAAGTTTGATGGCAGTCAATTCCCAGTCCAGTGTTCTTTCTAGGACACCATCTTCTCTTTCCTGCTGGCTAGAATCCCTCGCCCTATTGCCTTAAGGAATCTGGATCTTCTCTGGGAAAAAAATCATACTTCTGAGGCAGATGCCTGAAGAATCTAAACGTGTCATGAATCCAGAAACCACAACTTCGAGAAAACTTAGTGGAGAAAGAAGGTGTGTTGGGCAAGTCAAGCAAGCCACATTTGATAGTAAAACCCCATGCCAGAAGATCCTACAAATGAAAATACTGCCGAAACCAGTTTGGCTCAGTGGATGGAGTGTCGGTCTGCAGACTGAAGAGTCCCAGGTTCAATTCCAGTCAAGGGCATGTACATTGGTTGCGGGCACATCCTGGTGGGGGTTGTGCAGGAAGCAGCTGGTCAATGTTTCTCTCTCATTGATGTTTCTAGCTCTCTATCCCTCTCCCTCTCTGTAAAAAAATCAATAAAGTATATATTTTTAAAAATACTACCCAGCCTTAACCAATTTGGCTCAGTGGTTAGAGCATTGGCCTGCGGACTCAAGTGTCTCAGGTTCAATTCTGATCAAGGGCATGTGCCTTGGTTGTGGGCACATACCCAGTAGGGAGTGTGCAGCTGATCAATGTTTCTCTCTCATCGATGTTTCTAACTCTCTATCTCTCTCCCTTTCTTTCTGTAAAAAAAAAAAAAAAAAAAAAAAAAAAAAAAAAAAAAAAAAAAAATCAAAAAAAAAAAAATATATTTTTTTAAAATACTACCCAGAGACAAAAGGGCTGAATATTTCCACTCTTTCTATATCCTTCCCATGTTAGACTATTGCATCACAGGCATGTCCCCAGGGCAACCTAAACCCGAAAGGAAGAGACAACACCATATTTATGAGATGTACTGGTATAAGCATATATTTCCTCCAGCACCAAGATTTTCAAGATAATTCTGCCTTTGCCTGTTATCAGGCTTTACTTTTTTCCTTTTTTGCATTTTTCAATTCCAAGCTGTTTAATTAACTCTCAGATCACAACTGAAAGTCCCAGGAGAAGAACAGAGGACAAAACTAAGCAAAAAGCTGTGAAGAGGTAGAAGAGGAATGTGTGCCATGTGACAAGCCTGGCTTTACTGGACATACCCCCTTCCTGGCCCTGTTCCCTCTCCAGCCTAAGGCGTCTGAAGCCGGGAATGCTGGCCGCTCTTGGCACACAGCCCCATTCTTCCCGTAAAATACACACATGCACATGAATTTAAATTTCATGCCAAAGAGAGAGCTCTATAAACCATCCAGACCCTAATGAGTAATTTCTTTTTTTCTTCAAATAAACCATCAACACCAAAAAAAAATACCTAAAGGGCCCTTTTTTCAACAAGGGTTGTTTGTGGTTTTGTGGTGTGGTTGTTGAGTTTTCTGGCATGGGGGTGGGGTGGGTAGAGGAGCTATCATATTACATATATAGCAGCCTGATGTATCAGCACACATTCTATAGTGAAAAGACAGAACTGAACATATTATTTCCAAAGACTTTACTGATAGTCAATATATTCATCTCAATATTATATGTAAAAATATTTTCCATCAATAAGGAAAGAAAAATCTATTAAATTTTTGTTGGAGACAGAGATAACTGACATAAAATTACATGATTTTTATTGGCCCTTTTTGGAAAACACCAGTATATGGTGCCTTTTATTTGACTGTGAAGAAAAGTGTAAGCCTGTGCTTCCACATCACAGAATTATAAAAGACTTCATATGGTCATAAAAGCTTAGATTCTAGTCATCTAGATCACACCTCCTTCCAATGTAAAAATTCCTTCAACCTCATTCCCAAATAAACAGAATTTCAGACTCGCAAAATCTGCAATACTTAGGAGAGCTATAAATGTGTCAGAATTACATTTTTCCTTAAAATACAATCCTTGGATGACTATATGATAATATATCTCTCACTACAGACTGAACTTACAATGTAAACATTTTGGCATATAATCCTATATTATATCATCCTTCAATTATTTTATCTGTTTCAATATAATATCTTTTAAAAACAAATTTTTAAAAATTCCTTAAGGGAAAGAAATAGATAGCTACCTTAATGGGAGACAGAGCCAAGAGAACATTTTTATTGAGGAAAAGGTGATCATATTTGCAGGCCTAATGGGAAGGAACTAATGAACATGGAGAATTTGAAGATTTTTTTTTTTTTAAAGAAAGGATTTGATGGCACAGGAGGAGAAGAACAGTGAAGAACACAGGTAGGGTGAGGCCTAGAGACAAAAGAGAAGCAAAGAGTCTTTTCATCGTGTTACCAACTCAGAAGGAATAGCCTGACCTTGGTGGGAAGACGTTGCAGGTTCCTTTCCTTCTTCTACCCATCTGTCATTTCTCTGATTGGTTTATGGAAATGGTTGGAGAGTTTGGGAGGATTTAAAGTAGGGAACAAAGGGTAAAGGC